GGATCTTAAATCCTTTTTGAATCTTAAATCTGTAATCTTAAATCCTTTAAATGAATATTAAATCCTAAAATCTTATTTTTTTGAAGCAAAATGATCATGCAGTGCTTTTTTTGGAAATTTGAACCCCTCCTCCCCCCCCTCCCCCTCCGCCCCTCTCTCCTTCATATTCATTCCGCATGAGAAGCTGGGTAATTTGGGAGTATACTGAAGGCAGCAAATAAATCCGAAGCAATGACAAGTAACTGTGTGAATTCAACTTAATATTTAAATTTTTGAATATTTTTCATTTCAGATCGAACGTTTACTCAATATTGGCCGACCTTGTACATCATATCCGTGAACATCTGTCATACGATTATCTTTGTTGGTTAGTACTTTTACTGTGATTTTTTTTTTTTTTTCAGGAAAATTGAAGCGCCATGAAAAAAAGAAGAAATTTTGCCTGATTTATTACGAGATTTTGGGCAAACCCCTTGCCTTCGGTTGCCGATTCTCCCAAAAACAGTTTGAAAATACTCGCTTATTTAACTAAATTTTTTAATAAAAATCATCTTTTTCTTTAAATTTTTTAATAAAAATCTTTGAATAAAGGAAGAAATATTTTTTAGTTCGGCTTATACATTCACAAAAACCATGTTCGATCCAGCAGTAACACCCACCGTGCAGGCAATGTGTATCAAGGTATCGATGAACTTAATTGATTCGTTTATCACCGCTGAACGAAATCACGCGCAACATCCGGTAAGATTTTTTCAGATTTACAAAAAATAGCAGGCAGGGATTAAATCTGAGATACTGTAGGTCTGCCATTAATAAATTTCCTAATTTAGTGAAAGAATTTCCCAATTCTTTCACTCGATCGAGAATCGATTTTGAGGTTTTATCGATTGATCGTGATTTGAATCTCGTCAACTTTTTTCCTTCATTCTTATACCTCTTCTCATTTTGGCTTACATAAACAGCTATGGACATACTAAACCTTCGTGCACTACTCACATACTAAACCTTTATCTAAATTATCTTTGTTATCACAATCGTCGTGACGAAGTATATTCTCTGTGTCCCTGATATGCATATCTGTAGTACTCTGGTACCCCTAGAATGGCTATTAATTTATAGTCAGGTTTTTCATCTCCGAACCGGCAGTTTTTCCTTCCACTAGGATCTAATGCTTCTAGCATCCACACAACTCCAAAATATCCTGGTTGGTGGAACGTCCGGCGCCCCTATAGCTTTATTGCGGTTTTTTTCAACAAAGCATGCCGCTAGCCTTCTTGTTATTTTGTTACAGATTATAGGTACCATCACAGTGCTCATTTCGCCCCTCCTGCGTTTGTCGTACATGCCAGATGTGATATTTATTGACAGAAATGTTTATTTTAGTGCCGAGATATATTGTTTAATCTTTTGGCAAATTTTGTACGAAAACTAAAATGGTTAGCACGTTATCACATACCACTAATTATCAGACAGAATGAGCACAGTGTTGTGAATTCATCATTGATGGTTGGTGGTGATCGAACCAGGTATATTTTTTCGTATCATTTTATTCCTTAATTTTTCACATTATCATTATTGAAAAGTTTTTGTCATTTTTTTTTGAACGCCAAAAAAAACTGACAAAATTAAAAACACGCACCAGTGATGTGGAGTTTAAAGATATGCGACTTAGTGGAGCGAAACATGGATTTGTTCATAACCAGCCCAGCGATATACTGTGTGTAACCTTTTGATTTTGGAATTCATCGGGAGAATGGTTTCTGTAGCGAAATACTAGGACTGATTTCCATTGCAGTTTAGGAAAAGACAGATTTTGGCTTTTCGATCAACCAGGTTTTCGTCATTAGATCCCCTTTTGATAGAGCTGTCAACTTTTTATGCGTTTTGTGCTGTGTAACAGCAGTACAAAACGCATATTGTTACGGGGTTGTCTGT